TCTCAGAATCAGGGGAATCCCCTTTCTAGTCGTACCGCACCGCCTTGGCAGGAGCATTCTCGGTCCACTTCACCTTTTCTATCATTCAGTCACCCTATGGACGCTTATCCAACTTCGTATCTCTGGTCACAATCTTCTATATCATCAGAGGCTTATCCGTTTCAGTCGATGGGGTATTATGGTCACCACTATCTACCACCACAGCAGGCTGACCCGGATAATATGAATTATTGCAATTATCGACCTCTTCCTTCAAAATTCCCTATGATTGAAACTGGTGATGATACACAGGACAAGGTATTCACAGATTTGCAAAAAGTTCGAAACCCCCCCTACAGAATTGATGAATTTGTTCAGAACAGGAACTCAAAAACTACTTCGTCTTTCAAGACACAACAGAGTTCAGCAATCGAACAGCATTCTTTAGGAGTTGAAACCCATAGCCTCAATCAAGAGACAGATGTGATTGTTGAATCACCGTGGCATATGGGGTTTTTGGGGTCAATAATTGATAAAAATTCAGAAAATGATGAAGATCAGGCCAAGAGTGAAAATAAAAATAAAGAGCGGCATGAAACACGAGATCTGCCAAATTTTTCCACCTCAGCTACATCAGTACAGCCGCAGAGTATTGAAAAAGCCGAATCATCTAGTTCGCAAGANGTTACGAAATATACTAATTTGCAGCTCCGAGAGGATGGGTAATGTGTCAAAAAATACTTCTGAAGGCATTGACGTACAATTGCGAAAAAACGAATAGTGCTAGAGGAAACGAAATGTTCACACCCCCACCACTGCCTGAAGAATTTTATAAGTCCGGTGAAGACAAGGTAAGAGGAGAGATTGATTGGAGAACAAATGACTTGTCCCATGTTTGCAATAGGAAATGAGCAAAGTCTTGTTTTTTTAATTGTAAAAGACCTTTTCTGAAGAGAAAATATCTGCAAAAAATTTTCTAAGCATAAAAGGCAAATTGAATTGGTCAAAAATTTCGCGCATTCCTCCAATCACCAACTATTGCAATTTATGTATGGCATATTCCAACAATTATCGACGAACGATCCAGCGTGTAATTTTTTATTTGACTAAAAATTTGATCACTTTTAGGGATATTGAAATGAGTCTTCTCCTATATTTTTAGCCTTTTATCTCGTCCAGTCCACGAGAAACACCCATATTGATTTTTTTCCTGAAAGAAATTTCATTAGTTTTTCACAAATATCGCTTGGGTTTCACGTGAAAAATACATAAAAGCTTTTTCCAAGAAAATTGTTCAAAGTTGCAACAAAAAAATCCGCGAATGCTTTGGCGCAATATTACAATGGTCAAAAAAAATTTTTTTGTGGCAATTTTTTGGTTTTTCCACCTTGCACCCATGAAATTATTATTTTAAATTTTTTCATCTGCAAATATGGGTTTCTGGCAATAAGTTGTAACGTTTCCAGTTATCGGGAGGCAACATAAAGTTGAAGTTTTTATTTTTTTCATTTTCTTAAAATGGAAAATTATGTTTGTTGGGTGCCACGTATTAAAATAATATTAAGATAGTTGTGACGTTCGGGGAAAAATTTAGAATGAAGAATAGGATTATTTTTAATTGAAATGTTAAATATGTTGGACGCCAGTCGATGGTTTATTTTTCGAGAGTGCATCGACTCCTCGATTTGGAAATCTAATGGAAGATTACCCATTAGATTAGAGTTGACAAAAAAATAATAAACTTGCTTGTGAAAGTTACGAAAAATGACGAATGAAAGTTGTAATACACATTATTCTAGATGTTACATCGTAACTCGTTCAAATCTTCGCGCGGGCTGAATGCTAGTTTCTATCTAGTTCACCGCGCCACCGCTGCAAGTTTTTCCCCCTCTCGACTCGCTGGTTTCTCGCGGGGAAGCGCCCAACCGACGCTAACCCAACCTAGTCTGTTGCACCACGTGTAACAGTCAGACCGACGCTACTCGAGCACTCAAGTTCTAATCGATCTTTTGTGTGAAATCAGTGTCACTACTAATAAAAAAGTGTGAATTTGTCAACCCAAAACATCTAAAAAATAAGTCTCCTCAATCTTACATTGATCCCTCGCGAAATTTATACGAATCAAGCGGATTAAAAGTGTAGTGCATCGCCAATCGTATTGGAAGTGGTGCAACGTGCCGCTTCCTCTACACCCCTTTTTATTTGAAGTGGCGAACGGCCACTTCATCTAAAACCGTATCGGAGGTGGTGCAACGGCCACCTCATATCGTCGTAATTTAATTACGAAAAATATCGTCTCGGAATCACACAACGTGTGATTCCATAACCCACCCTTCGCATCATCGGCACGCGTGCGTGTGTGTGTGTGTGTGTGTGTGTCTACCTATCTATAGCTGCGTCCGACAGTTCACATCGTTGTGTTCTTAGGACAGACATTGCAGTGTAGTAGCGTATGTGTATGTGTATGAAAAAACAAGTGTCATTCGCAGTTGTAATCGATCTATTACCTTATAATTAATAAATCTGGGTTTTTTATGCCGTAACGGCTTTTTCCCATCCAATTCTGTGTTTGAATTATTTAATCCTTTTTTTTGTGTTTTGTTTTAAATCGATTCTTCGCGATTTTTAATTCGACTATCATACCACCTAGGGTATGATAGCCTGTACGTCATTTCATGGTGCCTCCTGTGAGGTTTGAATTTTAACCTCTAATAAAAACTGCGAGTGACGCGTGTGAAAGAGTGTTCAAAGTAAACAAAAACGTTATTAAAAACAGTTTAAAAAATTAAAAACTATCGAAAACTTCGTCGACGAGTCTTCAAGTCCGACGTCTTATCGTATCATCATCGTCACTCCCATTCCAGGAACCATCACCGCTCAGCTGGTTCAACATCGTGAGACGTGCAAAGATAGGTTTATACATTTATCTATCTCTATTTCTTTGCACATTTAATTAACTTCATTCAATTATTTTTAGATATTCATCTTCTTGAATTTTCTTTTTCTTTTTCTTTTTTGTTACATTGAATCCAGACATTTGACTATTCTTATATAGTTATTATTTTTGTTTTCTCTCTCGTTTGATTTTCATTATAGTTATTCATCGGTTGTTGAACCAATTTGATAGATCGTTTCCTTTTTCCCGTTTACGGCCCTAGTTTACGAGATTTTCACTGATTTATCGAAGTTTATCTAAATCCAACGTGATCCACGTGGATTTAATCGGTTCTTTCATTTGATCGGCAAACTAGTTCATCGAGCCGTTACCTCATCGTATCGTAATTTGTCGATATCTTCTGAGTCTCATTTTTTCCATCAAAATGAGTCTCTCTTCAGAGGAGAAAAGACGCGTCGCGTACCTCGAACAGAAATTGAATTTCTTCGATCTCCAGTTGGGGAGGCTGGAGCAATACCTCGAGAGTACACATGTCGATCCCGCAAACGCAAAGATACGTGCGGAGAAAATGTCGACGTTGTTCGATACTTCGATGAAGTACTATGAGGAATTAAACTCACTTCAAAGCGGCAATCGCCTGGCAGGGAGTTTTCTAGAGACCGAATCTAGATACTACCAGGCAGCCGGCGCCATTTCCAAACTCCAACAAAGGGATTCGGTATTCAACTCGACCTTGAATCCGAATAACATCACTCTCACGGAGCGGCAAGAACTGCCAAAGCTCCCTAAAATAAAGATCCCCGTGTTCGACGGAAAACAAGAAAATTGGGCGATGTACAAAAATAAGTTTATCGCTCTCGTTCATTCTCGGACCGACATTTCTGACGCAGTGAAATGCAGTCAACTTTTTGACTCTCTCACTAGGCCAGCTTTGGCTAAAATCAGCCAATATGATCCCAGTGACCAAGATTATTCGAAAGCTTGGAAATCTCTCCTAGAATTCTACGACCACAAGCGCATTGTGGCCGTAGAACACTTGAATGCTCTAATCGACCTCCCTCAGCTCACCAAGGTATCAGCTGATGACCTATCCTCACTTCTGGATAAGGCTCGTCAGCACCTTCACATCCTGGAGGGAATCGGTGTTCCACCTGGGGAAAACTTACTCGTTCGCATCATCGAACGTTGTCTGCCCCAGACACTGAGAAGTCGATGGCAAGACAAGCTTAACATGGATGAAGTGCCAAAGTTGGACGATCTGTTTAAATTCATCCAGACTGCTATCTTCAAGCAGCAAGCTCTCGACTCCGCAGCGATGTCCAATCGCAACCCCAACCCAAAGAAAAGGCCAGGAGAAAGTCTCCCTCAATCGGCCAACAAATTCTCAAGGAAGACTCCCCAGACATTCGTCACGTCTTCCAAATCGGATTCATCCTCTTATAAATCCTCGTCGATGAGCTGCCCCAAATGCAGTAAAGCTCATCGATTGTACATGTGCCCAACCTTCAACGATCTCAGTGTCCAGGATCGTTGGAAGTTCATTAAAAGCATCAAAGCATGCAAAAATTGTCTGTGGGCCCATCCATACCCTTGCAGGAGTGGTCAGGTCTGCAAAAGGTGCAAAGGCGAACACCACACACTCCTGCATGAGGAGCAGGATGCCATAGCATCTGTCAGCAGTCAGCAATGACTAGCGCATCAGACGTACACATCCGTTGTCTTCCCCTCGGATTCACAGTTGATGACGACGGCGGTTGTCAAGACTGAACACAAGCGAGGCAATTGCGTCGCGGCACGCGCACTGTTAGATTTTTGTTCCACAGTGAATTTAATCACAGAACGATTCGCGAATGCCCTGCAATTGCGTAAAACTCATTGCTCGGTAAACATTGGAGCAGTGGACGGTCTGTGCACTGTTTCGAACCAATATGTTCAGGTGACTCTTCATTCAAGTTACAATAACTTTGAACAACAATCAAACTTTTTGATTGTTCCCAAGATAGCTGATGTCGTACCTAGTGACGTTTTCCCTCGACATCAGTTCGACATTCCGAAGAATCTTCAACTCGCGGATCCTCAATTTCATTTGCCAAGATCAATCGATCTTTTGTTAGCCTCCAACACCATGTTGTCAGTTTTGTCCATTGGACAAATCAAATTGTCTCATGGAGATTCTACCATTGTCTTACAGAAGACTCGGTTGGGATGGATCGTCGCTGGAGCCTCGGAACTCTTATCGGCCTCAACAACCTCTCCTTGCAACGTCGTCAAATTAGATAAGCTCATCGAGCGTTTCTGGATTATCGAAGACTTCGATCACGAACCCGTTCGATCTCGTGACGAAATTTCTTGTGAACAACACTATGTTACACATACCAAACGAGATGTTACTGGTAGGTACATAGTTCGTCTTCCATTCAGAGATTCAAAATTCAATCTTGGCGAATCTCGTTCGCAAGCGCTCAAACGTTTTTCTTCCTTGGATCGAAAACTTTCATCAAATCCTTCATTAAAATCTGAATACACCAGAGTGATGGAGGAGTACATCTCCCTTGGTCATATGACTCTTTGCGATGAGATTGAAGGTGGCTATTACCTTCCGCATCACGCCGTTATCAAGGAGTCCAGTGAAACTACCAAGGTTCGTATAGTATTCGATGCCTCAGCTAAAACGTCTACAGGCATCTCGCTTAATGATACTCTTCTGGTCGGCCCCACAATCCAGAATACTATCTTCGAACAAGTCCTTCGGTTTCGCACTCATCGCTACGTCATCACAGCGGACATTGAGAAAATGTACCGCCAGATTCTAATTCATCCTGACGACAGACAATTTCAAAGGGTTCTGTGGCCTTACCAAGGCAAACTCAGAACTTTTCAACTCAACACAGTGACGTTTGGTACAGCCGCTGCTCCGTTCTTAGCGATTCGTACCATACAACAACTTGCGCGTGATGAGGCACAGAACTTCCCACGTGCCAGCAAACTTCTACTTCGTGATTTTTATGTTGACGATTTCATCTCCGGAGCAGATTCTCTAGACGAACTTATAACCATTAGAGATGAGATGATCGCATTGCTCTCTCGCGGCGGTTTCGTCATCCGCCAATGGTCATCCAATCATCGTTCAGCTTTGGATAAGATTGATGAAAGGTTCTTTGATTTGGATTGCCTGATCAAAGACGATCCAGTCCAGAAGACTTTGGGTGTCATATGGGATGCCCAAGGTGATCTGTTGCAGTACACTTTGACTCAAATTGATCCTAACGTTGTTGCAACCAAACGTAAACTCCTCTCAGAAGTATCAAAGATCTTCGATCCTCTAGGACTCTTAGGACCCGTGACTTTATTCGCCAAAGTCTTAATTCAAGACTGCTGGAAGGCAAAGATTACATGGGATGAGTCTCTTCCTCAAGATATCCACACCAAATGGACGTCGCTAGCACTTCAGTTGCCAAAAATACGTGAAGTCTCGGTTCCTCGACAGATTTTAATCGAAAATCCCTCTCGCATCGAAATCCATGGATTTTGTGACGCCTCCAGTCACGGATATGGAGCTTGTCTGTATCTCAAATCCAGCAATCCTCAAGGTGAGGTTTTGATCAGACTGATCTGCAGTAAATCTCGTGTAGCACCGTTGAGCGGAGTTACAATCCCTAGGTTGGAACTCTGCGCAGCGACCATCCTCAAAAAATTATATGTGGAGACTACGGCTCAGTTCGACTTCCCCATCGATCAGGCATACTTATGGTCTGACTCCACCATCGTTCTTTGTTGGCTTAAGAACGCTCCTCATCTTCTGAGAACTTTCGAATCAAACAGAGTGGCAGATATTCAAACTTTAGGTGATCAAGTTAGTTGGAGACATGTCCGGTCCGAAGACAATCCAGCTGACGCGTTATCTCGAGGACAACTTCCGTCTGAATTTGTCAATAACTCTCTCTGGTCTTCAGGTCCTAGATGGTTAATTCTCGAAGAATCTGAATGGCCTCCATCCATCGTACCTTCCGCAGTTCTAGTGCAAGGACTGAAAAGGAATCTCTGCCTCATCACTACTACTTCATGTGACTCTCTGTATTCTCAGTTCTCTGATTTTGAACGATTTGTAAGAGTCGTTGCGTACATCCGGCGATGGAAGTATCCACAAACCCCTCGGAATCGTCCACTCACTGTCAAAGAACTTGACGAGGCTGAACATCAAATCGTCATGATGGTTCAGCGTGAGCGTTTCTCTGTTGAAGTACGAAGGCTCACAATTAATCAATCTTCGACGAACTCAACTCGTTCATCAGCAAAGGGAACCTCGTTCGATCAATTGCATCCCTTTGTAGACGACAAGGGACTGCTTCGTGTGGGCGGTCGGCTCAAGAAGTCCGAACTATCATACAATCAGAAACACCCAATCCTGTTGCCTAGTAAACATCCGGTTACCGATATGATCATCCGTCGGGCTCATCATTCGAATCTCCATGCAGGGATTCAAAGTACTCTCTACGCGATTCGATCCAAATTCTGGATTCTGAACGGTAAGGATCAGATCAGAAGGATTGTTCGTCGTTGTATCGAATGCATTCGTCAGAAACCAACGGTAGTTCATGCTCAGATGGCAGATTTGCCTAGATCTCGAGTGAACGAAGCACCCGCTTTCTCGCAGACAGGTGTTGATTTTTTTGGTCCAATCCTCATCAAAGAGAAGAAAGATCGTAACAGATCGTTTCTCAAGTCGTACGGATGTGTATTCGTGTGTATGGTCTCTAAGGCTGTTCACATTGAATTAGCGACTGATCTTTCCTCACAAGGATTTTTGGCAGCCTTTCCCAGGTTCACCGGCCGCAGAGGTGTTCCTGAACNAGCTCAACGAATTGTACAATCTTCTTTCTAGCCCCGAATTCGCGGAAAACGTGGTCAATTACGCTTTATCTAAACGCATCACATGGCATTTTAATCCACCATTGTCTCCCCACTTTGGAGGGATTTGGGAAGCAGCTGTAAAGAGTTTCAAACATCATTTGAAACGCATTTTAAAGGATCAAAGACTCACTTATGAGCAACTTAATACTTTGCTGATCAAAATTGAAGCGATCCTAAACTCTCGACCGTTGTGTACTCTTTCGGCTGATCCCAATGATCCCTTGGCTATCACTCCAGCCCACCTGTTGATAGGCCGACCATTCAATGCCTTACCCGAAAAATCGTTCTCGTCAGTTTCAGATAATCGCCTGTCCACTTATAACTTCATCACCAAGGCCAAACAGGACTTTTGGAATAAATGGCACAAGGAATATCTACATGAACTCCAAACTCGCCAAAAATGGCTTACGTCTACTGCTGAACTGAAACTCGGTTCAGTGGTTCTCCTCATGGACGACGCTGTCGCTTGTGCACGATGGCCGCTGGGCGTGATCATCGAAGTGTTTCCTGGGAGTGACGGCATCGCTCGAGTTGCATCAGTTAGGACCGCCAGCGGTACCTATAAGCGCAACATCACCCGCCTCTGTTTGTTACCCGTCACCTAGCTATAAGTCATAGCTAGAATTATCAGTTATATCGTTTATCAATCTATCGTATATACGTTCCTCTACTGCATAACAACCCACTGGTGGTTTATTTCGCAGCTTTTGCCGGGAGTATGTTACATCGTAACTCGTTCAAATCTTCGCGCGGGCTGAATGCTAGTTT